AGTGCAGTACAGCGTCATCAAATAACTGGCCTGGCGGTGATCAGGGACACTGACTGGTGAAAATGTGAAAAAAAAATATATATTTTTTTTTTTTTAATTTTTTTTTATTTTTTTTATTATTTAAAAAAAAAAATTTTAAATTTGTTTTCTTTTTTTTCATATTTCACTATGTCCAAAGTAGTACAATGTTACCATAGTAACATTGTACTACTTTGGGGAAGTGATCAGTATTTTTTATTTTTTTTTACACAATTTGCTTATAGTAAAGAATTACTTTGCTATAAGCAAGCATTTATCTGAATGACATCGATTCATTCAGGGTTTTTTTTATTTTTTTTTGTGCTTAGCTGTGATTTGGCCACAGCTAATCACATGACATGTGCATGTGATTAGCTGTGACCATTCACAGCTAGACACTAGTATACAATGGATGACATGAATGAAGCCATCCATTGTATACAACTGTCATGTGACCTGCTGTGATTGGTCACAGCAGGTCACATTGTACCGGCAATGGGGGCCGGTACTCAGATCTGTCATCGGCCGCGTCTGAGGTACACAGCCGGTGACAGATCGCGCCGCTGCGCGGCTCTGCAAGCACGCGAACTGCGCATGGAAAGCTAGTACATTTTTCAGGATGCCATACGGCTATTGGCCGGGAGTCAAATGGTTAAAATGAGTATACTTCCTAAACTATTGTACCTATTTAGAGCCCTAACAATAAAAATTTTCGAAAGCATTTCTAGATAACATTCAAAGAGAGAAAATATATTTATATGGCTTGGCAAATGTCCAAGATTCTGTAAAACAATACTTTATAACTCACAATCCTCTGTGGATTGGGAGTTCCACATTTATGGTCGTATTATCTTGCTGCCAGATTTGCTCAACTTGAACAATGGAATATCCACCACTCTAATGTCCCCTGGATTAGATTTGAGTCAGGGTCAATATATCCTTACTACCTGCCCAGTTTGCTTTTGGCATCTAGTATATCTCATACAATGATTGCCCCATATAACACTCTCGTAGCACAATCTGTATATCGATGGAACTCACATAAAAACAAATGTAACTTGATCTCTCAGTTTTCTCCGTTGATTTCCTTTTTGGAAGATCCTAAATTGGGTTCTGCATTCTCATCTCCAAAAACTTTTATGTGGTGGGAAATCAATAAATTGACTACATTATACTCATTACAAATAGTTCAGGTTTTATTTCATTTTCAGATATTTATTCTCTTAAAAATATCCCCCATAGAGAACTACATAGATATCATCAAATTAGACAATTTTTTGCCAGAAAGTATTCCTTATCTGCCTCAAAAGATATGACTATTTATGAAAGGATATGTAAATGTTCTCCTAGAGGTAAGGGTATTATATCATCTATCTACAAAGTTATACAAGCATCACCTATTCTGGATAAACATTCTTACATGTTACAGTGGGAACAGGAATGTAGTGCCCAAAACTCTTTAGTGGAATGGTCTAACATGTTACTGAATTTTCGTAAATGCACCCGTTCTATTTCCATAAGAGAAACAGCTATGAAAGTAATAACTCATTGGTATTATACTCCTTCTAGAATTCATAATATGTATGTGAATTCTTCTGAGAATTGTTTTAGAGGCTGCTCAACGGTGGGCTCTTTCTTACATATGTTTTAGGATTGTGACGTTTTGAAACCGATATGGCTTAGAATATCTTCTTTAGTCTCTCGTCTGGTGTCTGGCCCCGCCATTCTCTCTCCATCGATATGTTTATTATTTGCACCAATTCCTGGCTTGCCCCACATTGTAATACAACTGATCCATACTATCTGTGTTACCACCACACAGTGGTCTATAGCCTTCAATTGGAAAAGCCCTTTGGTTCCCTTCTCACATATCATGGATAGAGTTAACTGTGTTATGCTGTCTGAGAGAATTTTCCATATGACCTCTGAAACCATGCATAACTTCAATGCAAAATGGGACCCATGGCTCGCTATCAGAAAAACACTCAGTGATTAAGACCTAAATGTGTTTGATTCCTTATTTTCCCTTTTTTATTTATCTTTTCTTTTTTGATAAGTCAACAGTATATCAGTGATTCATTATAACAGTATTACATTATACAATGTAATAGTGATTTAAACTGATTTCAGGGTATTTGTTATACAAAATGTACATTATATCTCTTTGTACAAAGATATTTTGTTATGCTTTTTGATACTATATTGCATATACGTATGTAATGACCTATCTGTTGTAATGTATACTTTACTTATACAAACTTTTTCAAATAAACAGTTTGTAATTGGAATACTGAATTTCCTTATCTCAACAGTTAGTAAAGCCTAATTTCAGCTTGAGCACTTATCCAAAAAAAGCATCCTCCGGCAATGTCAGAAAACAACAAAGCAGCTCATCTGATCTCTGGTGCTGCCCCCTGTAGATTCACTGATCCTTTGCCATGCCTCTACTAGGTTGAATGAAACCCAACGTCATTCAACCCACTTTATGTGAGCCTAGAACATGATCCCCTCCTGGACTCATATACTGGACCAATGACTCATTATGTAGCACCACTGTGCAGCATTTAGGTTTCGTTCTCTGCCAGAGGAAGAAGGCAAAGACATGATGTGGCATTATCTGACCTAGCCAAAGACACCCAGGAAAAAAGGTAAGTATGCTGGGGGGTTTTCCTGTTTTTAGGATGCCGGGAATTCTCCAAAGGATCTAACTGATTGTATTAAGCCACATAAACAAGGATCTAATAGGAGATTGTCCTGGATTGAAAGTATAGCTCCTTTCCCTTAAAAAAGTAGATGTGAGCTCCAAAAAAGTAGTTATAATTTTATAATTATGTGAGCTGCTGTACTACTTTGTGGAAAACTACTGGAAGTGAGTTTTTTTTAAAGTTTAATTATAATTATGTGTTCATTGATTTCTCTTACTATGTTAAGATGTACTTTAAGCCCTGGTTTACATCTGTGCGGTCATGCGGGCCATGATTTGCACGGGCACGAGAGCCCATTCACGCACGCATGGAAGAAGTCCCTGCACTACTTTTGAAATCGCAGCCTGCACGGAAACTGAGGTTCCCAGTACGGTTGCGATTTCCAGTGCAGGCGGTGTGTCATTTGAATTAACGGCACCCGCCTGTGGATCCCGCTTTCCTCTGTGTGGGTGGTGTGGCTGCAGGCATTTGAGCGGGTCCTGCAGTGGCACCACCTGCACAGATGTGAACCAGGGGTAAGCGACTTGCAGCACTACAATTTGTGCTTGGTCTCTGTATATTTTAATTAGGTAAAATAATACAGTTACTGTATTGGAATAAAGAAAAACATGAATTAGAAATATAAAAAATTGTAATATTTGGAGCCTAGGAATATAGTATGTTACAATTCTTAGGGTGCATATTTATACAGAAACAAATATGACATTCAGCAAATATTTACTGCAGGATAATAAATCACTGTAATTTCAAGCAAATGCACCAAGAGGTACATCTGCAGTGAATGTTTAGTGAACGTCATGTTCACTACTTTACAAAAATACGCCTAGTTTTCCAGCAGAAAACTTTGCTTGATTTAAGCAGAGCTCCAGAGAAACATTTTTTTCTTAAAATCTGCTATCACTTTTGGGATCATTGCCCTTTCTTTACTACAGTATTTACAATATCTTTTCAAATAGTTTTTATTAATGCTTGGACATTATACATCAAGAAAAGGCATGCATGGTAATGATCAGGGATCACAATAACTGATATGTAGAAAGCAATATAAAATCATACCAAGTCAAGTCATGACAGATGGTAGGCCTCAGCGTAGGTATGTCAAAGCCTCTGTTACCATACAACTTTTGTTCTAATGTCATGCTGTTTTGTATAGTAAGCAAGGGGTAGCATTGGCAACGATCATCATGGATATAGTATTGATCTTGGATTAAGTATTAAGCATTGCACTTCGGCTCTGCATCATCTGAATAACTCTTCTCTATCCCAGCACAGGTAAATGTCTGCTAGCAATATCCATCTGTAATATCGCCCATGCCATGTAGGAATGCTAATTCACCCTGCACTGCTATATGGTAAATGTGTTCTAGCAATATCCATCTGTAATATCGCTCATGCCATGTATAAATGCTAATTCACCCTACACTGCTATATGGTAAATGTCTGCTAGCAATATCCATCTGTAATATCACCCATGCCATGTATGAATGCTAATTCACCCTGCACTGCTATATGGTAAATATCTGCTAGCAATATCGATCTTTAATATTGCCCATGCCATGTATGAATGCCAATTCACCCTGCACGGCTATATGGTAATCTATACTGCTTTTAAAATCCACCTCTAACTGAAGCTGATTCATAACTATAGATGTTTTTATTGGTCATTCTTACTGCTTCAACAAATCTTTAACTCTAGTCCATATTACTGTGGTGTTTATTTTGCTCTTATTGTCTAACCCAAATTTATGAGCTGATCCTAATCTTTATAACTCTGCCCTCCTGCTCTCTTGTTGTGTCTTGTAGTCCTCCTTTGGTATGAGAAGTTTGCCCTGCTAGTCACGTGTCTCTGCTATGCATTCCTAATTGATTAATTGGCAATACCCCCACCCAACTCAGTATAAATTTAGGCCTTCCTTAGGAGGGGCAGCACAGCCAGGGGTAGCATTAACAACTATCATCTTGGACAAAGTATTGATCTTGGATTAAGATTGAGCATTGCACTTCAGTTCTGCACTTCAGCATATGCACAAAGCGAGAAGTAGACAACTTCAAATACTAAACAGAATGCAGGTGACCTGTTTTCTCATCCAGATCTTTCAGCTCTTATCCAGTCTGCTTCCTCTCACCACTCTGTAACATGCACTCCCTACACCTCCTTCTCACAGTTGTGTCCTCTCTCTTCAAACTCTCTCTCCTTCACCGCTCTTCTCAACCCCACAGCTTATATATATCACTCTGACTCCTGTCTTCACCTTACTACTGTACTCATCAACTCCTGCTAATTCTGAACCCACATACTAATAAAACCTCCAGGACACTGGAACCTGTCCCTCCATATAAGTCATACTCCCATATTACCTCTCTCACCCTTCTGCTTCTCCTAACATTTGGAGACATTTCCCCAAATCATGGGCAGCCATCTTTTCCTTTGAACATCACACCCGGAACCCCCTATCCTCTAACTGTAGCCACAATCCACACAATCTAGTTACTATTCCTCTTCTTCCTAGAACAAGACTCCCCTTTTCCCGTGCCCTCTGGATTGCCCGCTCTATCTGTAACAAACTCACCTCTGTCCATGACCTTTTTATCACAAACGTTAACTTGCTTGCAAATACGGAAACCTGGCTTCATGAATCTGACTTTCCATCTCCTGCTGCCCTCTCCCATGGTGGTCTCTTTTGGACTCACTCTCCCAGGCCTAGTGGACAGAAAGGAGGTGGAGTTGGAATCCTCCTATCCCCTCAAAGCACTTGTCAGGTCCTTCATTCACCCCCCCCTCTCTGTCCGTCTCCTCATTTGAAGTTCACTGTATTTGTCTGTTCTCTCCCGGTTTCTTTAATAATTGCTGTGATCAATCGGCCTCCTGGATCGGTATCAAGCTTCCTTGATGACTTCTGCCTGGCTACCTTACTTTCTCTTTTCTGAAATTCCCACTATCATTCTTGGTGACTTCAACATCCCTGTTAATCTTACCACTCCTACTACCTCTAAACTTCTGAGCCTAACCACTTCTTTTGACCTAAAACAATGGACACATGCTTCTACTCACTTGACTGGTAACTGCCTCAACCTTGTATTCTCCTACCTATGCACTCCTTGCAACCTCACCAACTTTCCTTTTCCTCTCTCTGATCACTCCCTTATTAGCTTCACTCTCTCTTTGGCTTCCTCCTCTTCGTCTTCAAACTACCAGTTACCCGTAGAAACCTTCGTTATCTTAACCCTTCTCTTCTTTTTTTGGCAACAGATTGTCTCTATGACAAAATCTCAGCCCTGTCCTGCCCCAACCTGGCCACTTCTGTCTACAATAGTTCACTGTCATCCTCCCTGAACACATTGGCCCCCTCACAACACACAGAATTAGGCCCCAACCGCTACAGCCCTGGCAAACAGACAATACCAGATGCCTCAAAAACGTAGCCGTGCTCTTGAGCGTTTATAACATAAGACTAAGACTCATCAAGACTTCAACCAATATAAAGCTGCCCTTCAAAAACACAATTCTTGTCTCCACACTGCCAAACAAACCTATTTTATCACTCTCATTAACACCCTCTTATGCAATCCCCGTCAACTCTTTTCTACCTTTAACTCTCTACTTTGTCCTTCTTTACGCTCACTGCCCAGGAGATCGCTAATCACTTCAAAAATAAGATTGATACAATTCGTGACGAGATCTCCACTTTACAGATATCTTACTCCTTGTCCACCTGCACAATCTATACTTCCCTTGTTTAACCCAGCTACTATAGAGGAAGTTGGTAAACTTTTATATAAAGCCCACCTAACCACCTGCCACCCAGACCTTGTTCCCTCGCAAATACTACGGTCATCCTCTGGCTCTATCCTTCACTCTTTAACTCATATCTTCAATCTCTCCCTTTCTACTGGTATCTTCCTCAACTCTCTAAAACATGCGCTAGTCACCCCCCATACTTAAAAACGCCTCACTGGACCTCACCAATCTTAGCAACCTAAGACCCATCTCCTTACTCCCTTTTGCCTCCAAACTCCTTGAACATCTAGTCTACAACCAGCTGAGCTGCCACCTTATTGAGAATAACCTTCTAGATCTGGATTTCGCCCACAACACTCCATAGAAACTGCTCTCTTAAAACTCACAAACGACTTACTAACCGCTAAAACCAACTGTCACTATTCCGTACTCTTGGTCTTGGACCTCTTCGCTGCCTTTGACACAGCTGACCACACCCTCCTCCTCAAAACACTCTATTTACTTGGTCTCCGTGACTATACTCTACGTGGTTTGAATCTTACCTATCTTGCCGCACCTTCACGGCAGTGTCACTTACAACTCTGCCTCCATCTCTCCTACTCCTCTTACTGTCGGGGTCCCACAAAGTTCTGTCCTTGGACCTCTCCTATTCTCGATCTACACTTCTTCCTTAGGTCAGCTGATAGCTTTCCATGGTTTCTAATACCATTTCTATGCTGATGACACACAAATCTATCTCTCTACTCCTCAGCTCACCCCATCAGTTTCCTCACGTACCATCAATTTACTAACAGACATATCAGACTGGATGTCACACCACCTCCTAAAGCTCAATCTATCCAAAACTGAGCTCATAATATTTCCTCCCCCACGTGCCTCTTCACCCCAATTTCTCAGACAAGATCAATAGCACCACTAACCCATCCCTGTATTCCAGAGTACTAGGTGTAACCCTGGATTCTGAACTATCCTTTCAGGCCCACATCCGATCCCTGTCCAAGTCATGCTGCCTCAACCTCCGCAACATCTCCAGAATATGCCCCTTTTTAATCAATGATACCAAAAATTTGAATTCACTCCCTGGTTATCTCTCGCCTCAGCTACTGCAACTCCCTCCTCATTGGCTTACCTTTATATAGACTGTAGGGGACTATCCCCCCTACAGTCCATCATGAATACTGCTGCCAGGCTCATCCACCTTACCAACCATTCAGTTTCTGCTACCCCTCTCTGCCAATCCCTCCATTGGCTTCAACTCGCACAACGAATAAAATTCTACATACTAACAACAACTTACAAAGCCATCCACAACTCTGCCCAGCTACATCACCAACCTGGCCTCAAAATATCAACCAAACCGTTCTCTTCGATCCTGCCAAGACCTTCTGCTCTCTAGTTCCCATGTCACCTCCCCCCATGCTCACCTCCAGAACTTCCCCCGAGCTTCTCCCTTCCTATGGAACTCCCTATCCCAATCTGTCTGGCTGTCTCCTAATCTATCCACCTTTAGACGATCCCTGAAAACCTTTCTCTTTAAAGAAGCCTATCCTACTTCTGCCTAGTAAACTGTCATTTATTTCTTCCATCAGCTCATCCCCCCACAGCTATTACCTTTTGTATCACTCAACCCTTCCTCCTAGATTGTAAGCTCTAACGAGCAGGGCCCCCTGTTTCCTCTTGTACCAAATTGTATTGTAACTGTAATGTCTACCTTCATTTTGCAAAGCGCTGCGCAAACTGTTGGCGTTATTTAAATCCTGTATTATAATAATAATAATATAGCTTTTGCTATATTTCTAGCATTGTGACTATGAATGCTGCAGCTCTCATACACATAAGCCATGCGATCATTTATGTACCCCTCCTCTCTCTTCCTCTCCGCTTGAAAAGTGCCTAGGAACAGGGAGCTCATTTTGTTTAGGGTATCTGAGCTGTTGCACTCTATCCCTATGCTTTTGTGACATTTTTGTAAAATAGATTGCATGGACATTTCAGCAATCAGGAATGTTCAATTGCTATTGAACCACCCCCTCCCATGGGCTGTCCCAAAGCCTGTCATCTCCCCCTGCTTGGTGGAAGCATGCTCCAGTCCAGTCCACACTCCCCGGGCCTATTGCCAGAGAGCTCCGCCAGTCAGAGCCAGGTTTTCTCCGCATGGCTGCCCGGATCTCATTCTTCTTGGTAGGTGCTGGACACAGAGGGTTACCTGGAGGCAGGGAATGTCAACCTACTGTACCACAACATCTTCGCTGGCCTACATACTGGCTTCCAACTCCTCTGCCACAATCTTTAACAGCACTGCACTGACAATGTCACCGATCCAGGACCAAGCATGTCAGAGGCGGCCAGCACCCTGTACAGGGAGGGGGGTGATCCGAGTACCTCAGAACAGCCCAACCCACTGATCAGTTGACCACTGGCACCACCAACCCCCCAACCATCCCACCCACCAATCAGCTGACCATGGCCACCACTAACCACCCCCCCCTCCGAACCATCCTACCCACAGATCGACCGACCACGGCTGCCTCTGACCCCAGATCCCTCTATAATGGGTACCTGTTACTGCCTATTACTGTCATAGGGGATGTTAACATTCCTTGCGACAGCAATAAAGGTGATGAACAATTTTTTTTCTTTAACCATTTGAATACCGGGCAATTTTACACCTTCCTGCCCAGGCCATTTTTCACGTTTCAGCGCTTTCACACTTTGAATGACAATTGCACGGTCATACAACATTGTACCCAAACTAAAATTTTATCATTTTCTTCACACAACTAGAGCTTTCTTTTGGTGGTATTTAATCAACACTGGGGTTTTTATTTTTTGCTAAATTAACAAAAAAAGACCGAAAATTTTGAAAAAAAAACAAATTTTCATTGTTTCTGTTATAAAAGTTTGCAAATAAATAATTGTTCTTCATAAATTTAGGCCAAGATGTGTTCCACTACATGTCTTTGGTGAAAATAACCCAAATTAGGATGTATTATTTAGTTTGTAGGAAAGTTATAGAGTTCACAAACTATGGTATAGATCTGAAAATTGATCAATCCTGAAGTACTGACAGCCAATCTAATTTCTTGAGGTCCAAGAATGTCAGAACAGTACAGATATCCCCCAAATGACCCCTTTTTGCAAAGTAGACAGTCCGACATACTTCATAAGAGGCATGGCGCGTTTTTTGAAGTTGTATTTTTTTTGTCATAATTTTTCGGAAAATGAAAAAATTAAAAAATAAAGTTCACTATTTTTTTTTACATACTGTTACCAGTGCAGTACAGCATCATCATATAACTGGCATGGCGGTGATCAGGGACACTGACTGGTGACAGTATGAAAAAAAAAAATTATAATTTTAATTTAAAAAAATATATAATTATTTTCATTATTTTTTTTTTACATACTGTCATCAGTGCAGTACAGTGTCATCATATAACTGGCATGGCAGTGATCAGAGACACTGACTGGTGACAGTATGAAAAAAATATATTTTTTTTCTCTTTTTTTTTTCTTTTTTTTATTATTTTTAATTTTTTATTACATTTGTTTTCTTTTTTTAAGATTTTTTTTCATATTTCACTATGTCCAAAGTATTTTTTAGTCCTTTGATATAGAGGCACAGAAAATAATAAAAAACCTGACAGAGCATTTAACCTTACTTACTCTACATAAAATTTAAAAGTTTTGGTTTTAGATAAGCTTAAAAATATTAAGGATTGGGAGATACAACTTCACCTACTACATTTTTCCAGTTCAAAGACTTTAGATACAGTGAAGCTGAAGAGTCAGCTTTACTTCCCTGGACCTTCCATCCTGCTAAAATAATTTAAACATGAACGCAGATGGTTAAGAAACTAACGAAGAGTCATACATGTAAAATAT